CAGAAAGATAGTGCAGCAATACCAGAATGGTGTTACCCAGCGTAAAATAGCAAAGACTTTTAAGTTATCATCATCAACCGTGCATAACATCATCAAAAGATTCAGAGAATCTGGAACAATCGCTGTGCGTAAGGGTCAAGGCCATAAAACTCTACTGGATGCTTGTGATTTCCGGGCCCTTAAACGTCACTGCACCTCAAACAGGAATGCCACTGTCAAGGAAGTAACAGAATGGGCTCAGGAATACTTCCATAAAGCATTGTCAGTGAACACAATCCACCGTGCCATCCGCCGTTGCCAGCTGAAACTCTACAGTGCAAAGATGAAGCTATTTCTAAGCAAGCTCCACAAGCTCAGACGTTTGCACTGGGCCAGGGGTCATTTAAAATGGAGTGTGGCAAAATGGAAAACTGTTCTGTGGTCAGATGAGTCACGATTTTAAAGTTCTTTATGGAACACTGGGATGCCATGTCATCCGGACCAGAGAGGACAAGGATAGCCCAAGTTGTTATCAACGCTCCGTTCAGAAGCCTGCATCACTGATGGTATGAGGTTGCATGAGCGCTTGTGGCATGGGCAGCTTGCATGTCTGGAAAGGCACCATTTATGCAGAGAACTATGTTCAGGTTCTAGAACAACAAATGCTCCCATGTAGACGTCATCTTTTTCAGGGAAGACTGCATTTTTCAACACGATAATGCCAGACCACATTCTGCAGCAATCACAACATCATGGCTACGTAGGAGAAGGATCCAGGTTCTGAAATGGCCAGCCTGCAGTCCAGATCTTTCACCTATAGAGAACATTTGGCGCATCATAAAGAGGAAGGTGCGACAAAGAAGGCCCAAGACGATTGAACAGTCAGAGGCCTGTATTAGACATGAATGGGAGAGCATTCCTATTTCTAAACTTGAGAAACTGGTCTCCTCTGTCCCCAGATGTCTGTTGAGTGATGTAAGAAGAAGGGGGGATGCCACACAGTAGAGGATGACATTTTTTCGGGAGTACTGCCGGTCACGTGAATCCGGCCGGATTCCGGCGGGACCGGAGTCAACTTTATTATAACTCCCGTTATCGGGACCGGACAGGACGAAAACTTAACGGGAGCAGACGGGAGCGGGAGCCAACATAGGACAAAAAAAGAAATAGGCAAAAAATAAATAAATAAATAAATTTCAGACAGGCGGCTGCGCCAACAGCTTCCGGCGCCTTTTCCAGCAGCTACTTCCGGCCGCCTTTTCCAACCTTTGTTTACTGTATCAACCAACATCATGGAGGGAGCATACGCCAGCGGAGAAACCGAGAGGGTAAAAAATATTTTGCAACGCAAAGTTAGGAATAATGACGCATCTGTTAGGTTAACAGAACTGTCAGGGAAGGCGCTAATAGTTCAGAACTTTATGAGAGTCGAGTGTGACGGTGTGAAGACGCTCTACGCTGCTTGCAAAACATGCTCAGTTATAATAAAGTACGCCACTGACTCGGGGACGAGCGGTCTGAAGAGGCACACTTGCAAGGCTAATTTCGGAACAAATCAGCCAAGCATTTCTTCATTCATTAAACGAAAAGTACCGTCGGGAGTCAAGTCTCGTATGACCAACAAAATAGCCCGCATGTGCGGCGTAGATTTGAGACCATTTGCTGTAGTAGATGGGAAAGGTTTCATCGACGTCATACAGGAGGCAATCGACATTGGAGCAAAGTATGGAAACAACGCTGAGGCACAAGACATACTGCCATGTGGACGCACGGTCTCTCGTCATGTTCAAGGAGAATACGATAAAATTTAAAAAATGGTCATGGAAGAGCTCCATCAGGTATGTCTGTCACGCTGCTCTATTTTATAATACAGTACAAACATTTTACCTTGACATCATGCAGTAGTCTAATTATAGATTTCCTAACACTAAATCTGTTTTTTCTCCTCCTTTTAAACTGCTTAATCTCTCAACTATAAATTAGTCATCTGTTTTACATGTAATATACTTTGAGAGCTAATAACAATATACGTAATTCCTTTGGTGCAGACTAGAGACCATGCAATCACGACAGACCTTTGGACAGAGGAAAGGACAAACACACACTACATCACCGTTACAGTCCATTACATCTTGGATGGGAAGATGGTGAACCGTATTCTGGCCACAAGGGAGATGGAGGGTGTCAAATCTAATGAACACATCAGAGGGACTGTGGAGAAAATCCTTCAGGTATCTCACACTCAAATGAGATAATTATCTTTATTTACATGGCATATTAGCTTTGTAGAGGTCTAGTACAGAGCTGTATGAATGGGTAAATGAGGCACAGATTGTAGTGTAAAGCGCTTTGAGTGTCTTGAAATAAGACAAAGGCGCTATATAAGTACAGTCCATATGCAATAAATATTGCCAATTAATTCGTAAAATTGGGAAAAGTATGAGAACATGGTGCAGCAATAACAAGAACATGTCACAGAAGGAACAATAGAAAAGACAAATATATATATTTTTCATTCAACCTTTACAGGCTAACCTCATTGAGTCACGAGGACTCGTTTTCAAGAGACCTGTTCCAATCCAGACAGACAGAACATATAAAGTACAGACAACAATAACAGTGAACAATAATAACAATAAACTACAGTAAAAATGCTGTAAAAATACAGTTAAAATAAAAGTAGTGTCTAAAAAAATAAATCAATGTGCCATAAAAAATGTAAAATACTAAAAACAAGAATATATTTGCTTTGAGATTTCTATTGACATTAAGAAATGTTTAAAACCCCTCACAATAAATTAAGGTGGACAACTTCAGTTCCTGCTGAAAGGTGTTCCAGGTTGCAGGAGCAGACTAACCTGGAATATAACTAAGTGCATCAGTAAGCGTGTGTCACGGTCCTTCGCTGTACATCAGTCTGTGCCGTGGTAGGCAGCAACTTAGGCAGATTACCATAGTATTTTACCTTAATTGCAGATGGAGTTTTCCTTCATTTAATACACAACACATGTGTAATATGTGTAATATGTTTTGTCCTAATGTAGTACTATAAATTTATTGAAAAGTGCTTCGTACAATTACATGACTGTTGATCAATCTGTTTAATGATTATCATATGTCTGGTCTTCTTATTTGCTAAGTTTTTGGTTTGTCTTTGTTTTGTTTTTTTACCTAACAGGAATTTGGCATCCTGAGCAAGCACACTGTGTTTGTGACAGATAATGGCTCAAACATGATCGCTGCTTTCAAGGATTATGTGCGACTCTCCTGTGCCGGCCATAATATCAACTTGATCTTAAAACACGTATTTGACCACTTGGATGAGGACAACCCAGTACACAGCAGCGTCATCAAGCTGTTTAAGGACGCAAAGACCCTGGTCACACATTTCAAAAGGGCAGGGTAAGATACATCAAATCTTGTAATCTCTGCCTGGTGAGGCTGCTTAAATAATCATAAAATATGATAAGTGAAATAAATAAAGAAAAATTGAGGTACTGTAATTTATAACTGCAAAGGTCACATTTTCTTGACTTAGTTTCAGTTGTAAAGCTCTTCTTTTTAATAAAATATTTTTTTTCCAAAAGAAAGGCCAATAAATTGCAATTTTTATAGTCCCTGTAACCCTATTTTGACTTGTGCACGGTCTTCTTTCAATTTTAGGTTACAAAAAGCACTGGACCAGTCACTGAAGCAGGCTGTGGAGACGAGGTGGAACACCAGACTTGCCATGCTCCAGTCAATAAATGATGCTCTCAAGTCTGGTAAGCTGCACGACATCCTGCTTCGCAGAAGCGAGTTCCGTTACCTCAACAACATAGACTGTGACCTTCTTGAGGACGTCATCCAGCTCCTGAAACCTTTTGATGAGGCTACCAGGCACCTCTCCATCGATCAGGCACCTACTCTTCACCTTGTCCTCCCAACCAAGGCAACCCAGCTGCAGGGTTTGTTGATCCAGGATGGAGATAGTGCAATTGTGAAAGAGGTAATTTAATACTTTGTTTATTTTTATTGTTTAGTTTGATCATTCAAGTAGCTAACAGGAGTTTGGCCCTATTCAGTAACAGTGATAAAGGCAAGAACAGAACTGAGTCTGATGTTTTCCAAAAGAAACATTGTACAAGTTAAATTTGAAATAAATTTAAAACTCCTCCACGCCTAAAATAAAGCACAGTGCCTGTCCGCCTGAGAATTTTTTATGTCCCGTAATAATGATGTTGCATACATCATTATCATATCATTGCATGTGTCATCATGTGATTTCACTCCTCCTCTAGCTGAAAGAGAAGTTGGCCCAGGCAGTGGAGTTGAAATTCAAAATCCACCTGTACCATAAGCTAGCCACAGCTCTCTCTCCTAGCCTGAGGAGTTTCTTGAGGAAAACGCTCTCCGGTCAGGAGTATGAGGAGGTCATCAACACCCTGGCAGCACTCACAGAAACAGCAGGGACAGAGGAGAGAGCGAGAAGCCTTGAGAAGAAACAGGGTGAGTAAAACTAGCATCAACAGAGCACTCACAGCAATTCTAAAATGTAATAACAACATTTCTTCCTATCATTTATTTAGAGGCATTCATTCACACACACGTCTGTATAATCTAATAGGTAATGTCCAATATAGGTAATGTTCTATAAGAATCTCTTTTTTTTTTCTCTCCAAAGGTCCACCCCGAGAGGCAGTTCCCAGTCCCACAGAGGTGCACGACTTCTTTTCCTTTTGTGTTGAAAAGCAGCAACAGGAGGGGGACAGTGGTGGTATTTCAGAGTCATGGGGCCGCCAGTTCGTGGTAGAGTACATGAGTGACTCTAAGTTGACAGGCTTCCAGTCTCTGCTCAACTTCTGGCATGAGAGGTCTGATGGGCTAGTGCCAGTTGCCAAGAGGCTGCTAGCAATCCCAGCAACAAGCACTCCTTCTGAGCGTAGTTTCAGTGTTGCTGGGAGACTGATTGAGGAGAGGCGTTCCACCCTCAATCCAGAAAATGTAGATGAACTTTTGTTCCTACATAGCAATTTATAATGACAACTATTCATATGTGCTGAAGAGTGGAAAAGTAGACTGATATGCACGGTGGCTGACAGACACACAGCAAACAGTTAAAACGTGCTGCAAACACAGGAATGAATCAAATTCCAAAACAAAAAAACAAATGCAACAGAAAAAAAAATCTGCAGTCACAGAAAATAGATGACACACAATCAAAAAAAAAAATGCAAAGGAAAAATGCTTCAAATACAAATAACACCAAAACAACTGCTGGTCTGGTCAACAGAACCCTGCAAATACATTACAGCTGAGTGGCAACTGGCCCAAAGTTGGCTTATTTTATGAGTTTAATGTGCACTGAGTAGAGTACTTTTCAGCATTTTCCTTTGCATTCGTTTTTTGGGTTGTATGTTTTATTTTCTGTAATTGCAGGTTTTTTTCTTTCGCTGCATTTTTCTGTTGCATTTGTTTTGTTTTTGTTGTTGTTTTAGAGTTTGCATCATTTATGCGTTTGCAATGCTTTTTAACTGTTAGCTGTGTGTGCAGTAGCTGACTGTTTGCAGCATGTTAGCAGTTTACATTTGTTGGCCACTGTAGTATTACTGTTTGTTTAGCTGTTTGCAGCATGTTAGCAGTTTGCACCTGCTGACCACTGTAGTATTACTGTGTGTGTAGTTGTTTGCAGCACATTTGCACCAGTCAACCACCATATATATATATATGGCAGTTGTATTTTTATTTAGTATTTGCATTATATGCACATTTTTTTTCCTTTTTCAAAAACTCAGGTACAATATGAATGTAATGCCTTTATGCAGTTTTGTTCATTGATGACAGTTTGTTTGGTGCAATTTTTTTGTTTAGTTTTTTATTTAAGCAATTTAAACCATGACAGGAACGTTACTGTCTAAAGGGAAGGAAACAATTGCTCAATAAATTAGTAAAAAGCAACTTCTATTTGTTCTGTTTGGGTTCTTTCATCTAAGGTAGACATGGTGTGACCCATGTACTGGTTTTCATTTTTTGTTTTTACTGTAACTGACCTTCAAAAAAGCCAGAAACAGGGACTCAGCAGCTGATCCTCTGTAGAAAAACTATAAGGACTACAGGCCATGGATTTGTTTTGTGACCTTTAGTCAAGGTTTTTGTTTGAATTAAGGCAATAAATGCCTCCATATTTCACCACAGATTAACTCTTACTGTCATATCTTTTGAAATCAAACTGCAGAACACAAAGTAATTTAAAAAGGAATGGTTAGAAAATCAATTCAAATTCAATGCATTTCTTAAAAATTAAATGAAGAGGAAAAAAAAACAGGAGCAGGACAGGAGTGGGAGTGATTCTGACCAGGAGCAGGACAGGAGCAGGAGTCATGTTACCAGGAGCAGGACAGGACAGGATTAATTTTTTTACTCTGGACCAGGATTGGGACAGGACAGGATTTTTTTCTGTTGGACCAGGACAGGACAGGAGTGAAAATCTACTCCTGTGTCATCCTCTACCACACAGTGGTAAAAATGGACTTGTCCCAACTTTTTTGGGATTTGTTGACGCCATGAAATTTGGAAACAACAGATTTTTCCCTTAAAATGATACATTCTCTCAGTTTAAACTTTTGATCTGTGATTTGTGTTTTATTCTGAATAAAATATTAGATGTTGGCACCTCCACATCATTGTATTCATTTTTTATTCACAATTTGTTTAGTGTCCCAACTTTTTTGGAATCCGGTTTGTACTTGGAAGGTTCAGCTTGAACTTAGATGTCTTTAACCACTTTGGATGTGGCTGCCTGCACGGGAGGAGTCGCTGGGGGACAGAACAGCCCCAGAAACCATCTTATCACCAGCAAACTGGTTGGTCTGCTAAAGATGTGTACTGCTTAGTGGGGAAAACAGTTTACTTGGGACTCCTAGACTGATGAAGCCTTCTGGATAGAGGGCGAAACATATTTCCATAAAAAAGGAACTGTCCAGATGACCTGATTGACCATTATTGGATTTTGTACCTTGTTGACTGAGCATGAACTTTGATGAAAACTTTGAAACATTGTAAAGCTCCTGCAGAGCAACAGAACACTGACATTATGCTCTTTGTGCTTCATAAAAGATAGTCACACATTTTTCTTAATTTAAAGCATTTAATTCATCAAGTACTAACACCACAGACAATACAGAACTGCTGAGAATACATGTGCATATTGAAAAGTACAAATTAAAACAGTTTCACATTGTCATGTGAGGAACTTGTTTGTCGAGCATGTTATCATCACATTTTGCTCTGTTTTTGTCTTCTGTCTTCACTGGTGTCAGAATTAACACCTAAAGAAGAAAAATGAGAGAAAATCAGATCTCAGCTCTGAAAATTATTTTAAAACAGTGTTCAGCAGCTTTATCAAACTGATTGCCTAAAAAGATGACTGGATGCTGGTCCAAAAACCTAGGGATGCATCAAGAAACCAGCTTGTAGGGCTATCAACATGGCGCCAGACATGTGACCTGCATTTTGGCTCAGCTCCCGTTGGCCCCACTGAAAAACTACTTTTTATGATTGTATCCTCACTACCTTCAGGCTGGATTTTATCTCAGATGTGGTGTTGCCGTGTAGCTGAATCAACAGACTGGTAATATGACCTCAAAGCAGAAAAAGTCAAAATCGTCTGTCACTTCTGCCCCGTGGCCCAATGTCACCGTTTCAGACTCGGCCCGTTGCGATGAAGAAACAGCTGGATCGGCCCCACCTTCGTTGAGCTCTGGAGGGGTGGATGTGTCAGCTCTAAGGTCAGACATTCTGGCCTCATTTAAAACCGAAGTTGTAGCAATGATTAGGATGGAACTGAGAGTGGCTCTGACAGAAGATTTTAATTTTATCAAGAGTGAATTGCAGGCATTTGGCTAATACCACTGCAAGATTCAGGACAGAGATGGACCGAGTTAAATTTGCTGCTTCAAAAACTGAAAATGGGCCTTCTTTATACTCGTATGAGCTGGAGAGGCTGCGTGGTATGGTGGTGGAGATAAAGAGTGAAGATGATGGGCTTAAAAAATAGTTTGAGACGGTGGAGGGGCATACCAGATGTGATAACATTAGAATTATTGTACTTCATGAGTCGGCGGATGAATGCTCATCCACTATGATTGCTAAACTGCTAATGGAGGTCCTAAAATTGGATAAACTGCCGCTGATTGATTACATGTACCAGACATCGGGCAGAAGAGGCTCAGATAGAGGATCCAGAGTTACCATGGCCAAGCTTCACAGCCATCGGGAACATGTGGAAATACTAGGGCGGGCGGGCAGCGGTGGCCAGATCCACTTCAAAGAATCAATCCTATTCATCACAGTTGACTACACCTTGGGAGAGGCATGAACACGAGTAGCATTCACAGAGGCGAGCAGTTTCTGTGGCTTCTGCGAAACAGACCAGGGGTTCAGTATGGTCTTCTCTTCCCAGGGCAGCTTCGTATCATACATGAAGGGGCGGACAGAGTGTTTGACGACTCCATAAAAGCGGTGGAATACATCAGGAAAAATATAATTCCAGCTGTGGGCAGCAAGGATGGAAACAGATCAAAATAAACCACAGGACCGGCTTCTTTCAATCAACAAGTGTGTTTAACTCAAATTTAATGAATGGTTACGGACCACAGTGCTTTAAGGTTGCTGTAATTAAACCCTTACTTAAGAAGTCTGACCTTGATTCAGAAATTCTGGCCAACTATAGACCTATATCTAATCTAACTTTCATCTAAAAAATTCTAGAGAAAATAGTTGCAGGTCAGTTGCGTGAACATCTACAAAAGAAATAATCTGTTTGAAGAGTTTCAGTCAGGGTTTAGAGCTTATCATAGCACAGAAACAGCACTAGTAAAAGTCACTAATGATATTCTCATGGCCTCAGACAATGGACTTGTGTCTATACTGGTCCTGTTAGACCTCAGTGCTGCATTTGATACAGTTTATCACAATATTTTACTACAGAGGCTTGAATATGATATTGGGATTACAGAAACAGCTCTAAAATTGTTTAAATCATATCTATCTTATAGATTCCAATTTGCAAATGTAAATAATAAATCTTCTTCATACACCAAAGTTAGTCATGGAGTTCCTCAGGGCTCAGTGCTTGGGCCAATACTCTTTATATATGCTTCCATTAGGTAAAGTTATTCAACAGCATGGGATACATTTTCATTGTTATGCTGATGACACACAATTATATTTGTACATTAAACCCAATGAATCCAATCAGCTACTTAGACTACAAGAATGTCTTAAAGACATAAAAACCTGGATGACCCTTAATTTTCTCCTTTTGAACACAGACAAGACTGAGGTTTTGGTTTTTGGACCTGAGCACCTAAGGAATTAATTTTTCAGTCTTTCGCCCTCCTTAGATGACATTAATCTGTCCTCCAGCTCTAATGTTAAAAATCTTGGTGGTATTTTTGATCAGGACATGTCTTTCATACCCCACATTAAAAATGTTACAAGAACTGCCTTCTTCCACCTGTGTAATATCACAAAAATTAGAAACATCTTATCTAAAAATCTAAAGAAACATCTTATCTAAAAATCTAAAGAAACATCTCATCTAAAAAATGGGCAGCATGGTGGCGCAACTGGTAGAGCTGCTGCCTCTCAGCGAGCAGGTCCCTGGTTCAAATCCTGGTCCAGGGGCCTTTCTGAGTGGAGTTTGCATGTTCTCGGGGCGGCTGTGGCTGGGTGGTTAGAGCAGTCGTCCTCCAATGTGAGAGTTGGGGGTTCAAATCCACCAGCAGTCACATGCTGAAGTGTCCCTGAGCAAGACACTGAGCCCCTCATAGCCTCTGATGTGTGTCCCATTAGTGTTTGAATGTGATAAAACACTGATTAGTCTCTTTAGAATGATTTGTTCAATTAGCTTTCTAGAGATCTAGTAGAGTGCTGTATGAATGGGTAAATGAGGACACAGATTGTAGAGTAAAGCGCTTTGAGTATCTTGAAATAAGATAGAAAGGTGCTATATAAGTACAGTCCATTTACCATTCTCTCCGTGCATGCGTGGGTTTTCTCCGGGTACTTCGGTTTACTCCCACACACCAAAAGCATGCATGTTAGGCTGATTGGTAACTCTAAATTGTCCCTAGGTGTAAGTGAGTGAGTGAATGTTTGTTTGTCTT